TGGAATCATGCTCGTTCACGTAGAACAGCGTTGCATTTGATGTCAAACGTTGGCTGAAGATAGATTTACTGATATCCGATAATCAAACAGAGAATATGTTTGACTTTTTCATTCTTCATTTGTATAGCAAAGTGGATAGTTGCTCAGTCATCATTACCTTAACGAGCGAACAAGCTCCATGACTTCCGGATTTCTGAGATCAATTTCATCGGCAAGATCAGCGTTAACATCCTCTTGGCATGATCGTAACGCCTACATTAGGTATTTGAGTAACGTTTTTTGTATGTGTATATTTTACGTATGATAGCTAAATTACCCTTAGGTAAGTTCTTGACTGTTTTGCGGATAGAATACGGTAGCAATACTCGGGACCTAACTCGTATTTATTCGGGCAAACGTGGTCGCAATCGAGTGGAACTGAAACTGTGTTACTGCAATCTCATTTTTAGTTGAAAATAAAAGAGTTCTGAATGAACCCTCTGTAGGCCCAAATGCAGTTGCCGACTCCAATAATTCACCATCTAACATAGTGCTAGGTACGTGCTCTGATAGCTGCGTACTGACCTGCAAGCATCTTTGGAGTCAATTTTTTAATATTTCATTAAATGAAGATTCTCTAAGACTCGCCTCTATCTTTTGAGAGTTTAAAGACTAAAAACTCACTTTACTTCCGTTTGACCAAGATGATTTGACGAAAGGATGAAGTACAGAGGGCGATGAAGCAGGTGAAAGGCTATCTTTAGACATAGAACTGGATTCACCAGTGAAGGCAAAGTCATCAAAGCTTGGTTTTGATTCTAAAGATAGCGACTCATCAAGTACTGCAGAAGAAAGCACTGCAGATGCAGTTTGTTCAGTGTTGTTGCGTTCAGAAAAGTAGGCGATATCCGCTGAAAACATATTTTTCGCTGGTTCATCTGTAGTAGTGCCATGAAACATTTCAGAAGTAGCATCATCAGTTTCGCTATCGGAATCGGAAATCTTCAGTTTCGAAATGAACTGA